AAAAGCATCCCTTTATTGGGTTCTTCCTTGTTTTTCTTTTGTCTTCCAAGGCTGGACTCTAGAGTGATGGATTCAGGATTTACTTTCAGGTATTTTGATAGCTGTTGGAGTGGTTAGAATTAGTGTCAGTTCCCTCTCAAAGGCTTCTAGATGGGGGAGAAAACAAATTTATTCATCATTTTAGAGCAATAGTTGGTTGTCTCCCTTAGCTACAGGTGGGCACTATAGTATTGGGGACCAAGATTTGAAGTCTTACATCTGAGCAGCACTTTCTGGTTAGGAACAAAATCATCAACGAGAAATAATTGTCTAAATAACTTTTTATATAGACTTAAGCCTAATGTCTGTGAAGCAGAATCCCTTGAACTCTTAAAGAAATATACTGATGATTTTATTCTTTGGTTATACTTTCCTTTTGAGTTGACCCAAATATATCAATTTATTTTTACACTTAAGGTCATTTGAGGATCTGTTCCTCAGGGGTCACATGGGCTTGGGAGGAGCTCCTGGCTCCTTTCTTTTACCAGTTCCATCTATGTGAAGATAAGTCAAAGGTCCTGCTCGACCATGTCCTGCTTCACTTGGAAGCATGAATGAGATGTTTCCTCTGAGTTGACCCTCCTCTTTGTAGACTGGACACTGGTTCAAGTCCATCTCGTGGGGTCTCCATGTCCTCCCTGTACAAGAGGAAAGGTGACCCACCACAGTTACAGGACATTTTGAGAGATGTTTCATAAGCCCCTGGAATGTAGTCAACCTTGGAGGGCAAGGGAAGAGCCACATTTTTAAAGGCAACTGATCAAAGTAATTACAATATCAGTATCTGAGTTCCAAATCTTATTATTCCTTTCATTAATAAATATAGTACTATATGTAAATTATATAAGTATATGTGTTATATATACAATTTTCGCTATATATTAAATGTGCTTCTTCTGAGTATTTCATTTATTAATATCTATAACAAATTACTTATTATGTAATAAATTACCAATAAGTAGTTCTTATCACCATTTGTCACACATGTAAGGGTTCACTGGAGGAATCATAAGATAATTGTTTTAAAGCTTTGCCCTCTGATAAACATCTATAACTTCAAAATTCAACACTTGGAATTTCTTATACCTTAGTTTTAGAGAAATATTTACTTTATAGTTTCAGTTTGCTCAGTAGCGCATAATTCATTTTAGACATCAAAAAATAACAACCAGTTTGCTCTGAGAATTATGGTCTGTGGTGTGTATACAGCCACCACCACTCCCTAAGTCTAGGAGGATGGTTAATGACCTGTAGTTGCCAGGGAAGAGACATTCTAGTTGAGGAACTGAAGACTGATTCCCTAACTCAGCTTTAGAGAATAGAGTGTCCAAGTGCCCATCTCCAGGGCCGTGATTTGTCTCCTTGGGTGAGTGAAGACGTCTGAGCCCATAGCTGGTTTTCTTGAGGTCTTGAGACCTTTGACAAAGGAAACAATACATGGTTGTGTAAAAAATATTTTTCTTTCTTGGGGACTTTTCCTGACCTTAACACCCTATCACTGGCATTGGTCAAGTAAAGCCAACTACAAGGAGAGTGAAAACCTATCAGTGCTTGACTCAGAAGAGGCCTTTATGATAATTGTGGCATGGAAATGAGCTGGAGAGATGTCAAGAGTCACATGATGTTACAGAGTCTCTACCACTGACTAGAAAACAGCCTGACTTCAGATGTCAAGTACAGCTCTTATTACCTCCTACAGGGTGGCAATTCATGAAGAGCTTTCTATATGAACTGCCCTGGTCAAATCTTTTACATGCAAGCAATAGAAGTCTATTCAAGTTGCATTAACAACAATAGTAGATAAATAATACTAAGGATATTTATAAAATCCATACAGATTTTTATAAGCTTACTTAACATACATATCTAATATTTATGTGTGTGCATGTGTATAGCCAAAAGCTATCTATCAAAAATCCCAGTACTAGGCAAGGAAAACCTCCCTTCAAGTTTTTGGTCAGAATAGTCAAAAAAGACTCCCCAAACAGTATAAGCTATTGCCATAGACTTTGGTTGCCTCCCAAACTTGAAGATAGGACCCTGTTCCTGAAGACCAAACACTTTGGACACAGGCCTTGAAGAAATCGAGCTGGAATGGACCTAGAAGCCTTGTCCCTAAGGACTGGCTCTCATAGTATCAGAAGATGTTGTACAAGCTGCAAAAGGAGAAAAGCAACCAATAGTCCCACCCAGTAGTCCTATCCTATGAACCACAGCAATGACTGACCCAGCAAAATATCCCTAATGGTACAGTAGTGGCACTTTTATCTTGGGTGTTAGCCCCAGATATCTAATTGGACTGAAGGCCACTCAATAGGATGGAATTCTTGACTGGTTCTGTAAACAAAGACAAGAACCTTTGGCTGTAGAGGTCATAGATCGTAGAGAAGAACCTACGGCCCTACGACTGACACTTTCCTAAACCAATGTAATTTCTAACTATATTCTAAATACTTATCCTTTTTTTTTTCTTTTTTGACACAGGATCTCCCTGTAGCCTCAGTTGGCCTGGAATTTACTGTGTAGACAAGGCTGGCCTTGAACTCACAGAGATCTGCCTGCCTCTGTCTCCCAAGTGCTTGGATTAAAGGCATGTGCCACCACACCAAGTTTATTTATCCTTATATCCACAGATAAGTATAGCTCTCAACACTCATCAGAGAAACTTCTTTGAAACAGTCCCACCACTGGTCAAAATGCAGAGTAACAGTGACCATGGGGACCCACCCCCAACTGATAAGCCCACAATGTAACCCCTACACCTAAGGCTCTGGGAACTTCCTGGAAGAGAGGGTAGAAAGATTATAAGAGGACACCTATTGGTAGATAATATATTTTAGATTTAACAGGGAAGGAACACTATGGAAATCACAACAATATGGTCTCCTAAACAAAACCTATATAATAACACCACCAGTTGACAATCAATGTGGATGAAAGACATTGCACAGGGTCGCACCTCTAGATGAAGAACTATAGGCAGTCAATGGCTGCTGAGAGAGGAACAGCCAGTTTTCTCCAGGGACAAGTTCCCTGGTAGGTTATCCAACCCCAAATGGTCAGCCCTAAACAAATATACATATACACACCACTAAAAGGACTCAGTAGATTTTACATACTATATATATATATATATTAAATATATAAGCAACAATAATAATCAAATAAGAGGTCACAAAATTGAGAGAGAGTCAGAGGGATGTGGGAAGAGTTGGAGGGAAGAGAGGGAGGGGTGAAATTATTTAAATATAGTACTAATGTATGGAATCCTCAAAAAAGAAAACCTGATGGTTACTATTACGAAAATTCACTATAGAAATATTATGACCATATCAAGAACTTGAATGGACTGGCAGGATTCCGGGTCCATTTCTCAGAGTTCTAAATCAGCCAAGACAGCACATGATAAGAACTCAGGCTATGAACTGAAGCACAGGCTCCAAACCTCAACTCTGCTGCTACCAGCTGTGAGCTTTGGGAAGAAGGCTAGTCATCTGTGCTTCTTGTTTCTGGCATATGATTTCATCTGTACTGCTCACTTCTACGTTCAGCTTTTCCTCTGAGGCTGTTCTCCATCCCTTCCACAAACCCTTCCAGCCAACCTTCTATGATGCTCTCTCTCTCTCTCTTCTCCAAAGCCTCATTTCTTCATGGCCAGAGAGTCTTAGTTGCTAACTTAAATGTTCTTACTTCTTATGTAGATTATTTTTTTATTTCAATAAAATTGTAAATTTCTAGGACACATAGGACTTGTATTAATTTTCTATTGACTCTTTCCTCCCCACAGCAGAGTATTGAGCACATAGTTGTATTTAAATACTGGCTGGTCTGTATTCATAATAAGCAAAAAATGCTATCTGTTTTTAGTTCTTACTTTACATTAGCTACTACATTAGATATTTATGTACATTGTCTCATCAAATATTTTTTTCTAAAACATTTAAGATAAAAACTATTGGGCTTATTTCAAACAATCAAAAACCACCGAGACTCAGAGAAAAAGATTAACTTGTTTAGATTCATCTAACTACTAAAAAGTAAAGTTGACTCGGACTCCAGGCCTTGGTCTCATTATGATGCACTACAGCAATAGTTACAATTCCTATTTCAGGTACAGCAAGGTGCAGGTAAGAAGGCACAGGTGGGGAATCTGGGAGCCTTCAAAGGCTATGCCCCTGCCCTCTGTTTCTCTGAGAGCAGTTCTGCTATGCTCTTTTCCATTTATATAGGATCTTGACTGACAGATTCTCATGCCCTCACATGGGATACAAAGGGCATAAAAGATGGCAAACGCATTCTTGTGATCAGTTTACTTATTTATTGAATATTTAAGACCTTGCTATGCTCAGAGTCCTACCTAGACTCCATAAAGGACCTAGAACTTGAAGTGGGTCATTAGTGGACTATCTTTAGAAATTTCAGTGAGTACAATAAGTACATGAAGTCATGTCCTTAAAGCACAGGCATCAGGTAGACATGTGAAGAGTTTACAAAAAGGCAGTAGATGAAGGCACAGAAAAACAGAAGTAGATAAGGAGCAGCAATGTGCAAAGGAGAATGTGGAATACAAGGTTAATCAAGCAGCTAAGACAGCACCGTGGGAGCTTCGATATAATCTGAAGAACTTGGACTTGATTTTGCAGCTACTTGATAACACTAAAGGTTTCTTAAATAAGGAACTAAAGTAATTAACACAATCTAGCAATTATGTGAATATGGCTTGTACAATACATTGATTTTTTTTAAGTCAGCAAAGAGAAGACAGGAATGAAGAAAATTATCAGACTGATTTGGTAGCTGTGCAGCTGAGGAGGAGAAAACACATAAGAATACAACTGGTAACCAAGTAACTAATTGATTTTTGGGATCCAAGATTGGCCAAGGATGAATGATTCTGCAATCTGGCCATTGTTAGTTAACTTGCTCAGTAGGAATCAAGAAGGAATAAATTTTGGAAGGAAAATATTGTGTCTTTCTTAAGCACGTATTTTTGCTAGCGGATACACACGTAGAAAAGATATATAGACTATTTAAAACCAGGCAACTATAACTTAGAACTGAAATGCTGGTGAGAACCATGCACACCCCGAAAATGTATGAAACTGGAAGGCTTTATCTGAAGGTAAGTTCTTTAGGAGATGACAAGGAACAGCCATGGTCAGATGCTGAGGGACTTTTTAAAAGGGAAATGTTGGCTTTCCAGGAAATTAAAAGAATAGCTTGTCTGTTTCGTCTGCAGACCAAAGTTTGGAGGGAAATACTGCACTGGAGAAAGAAAACGCTATCGCTTGTGCAACGTCCACCCTTGTCAATCAGATTTTCCAACATTTCGGCAGATGCAGTGTAGTGAATTTGACACAGTTCCCTACAAAAATGAATTCTATCACTGGTTTCCAGTGTTTAATCCAGGTAAGGAACTTTAATCCTGAATCTAAGACCTAGAGTTTCTAAGAAGTTCTGCAAAGATCAGAAGAGAGAGCTGTACAATCAGGAATTCCAGACTGTAGAAGACAGTACTGCTGACCTACTCAAGCTGACCACTAAATATTGAGGGCTAAATGTGTTCAGTGCTGTTTTGTGGGAGATGAAAGTGAAAGCCTTTAAACATGGTGACTCGCTTTCAATAAGTGGGCCATGTGCGAATTCAGATACTCGGAACTTGAGAGATGGCTCAGCAGTTAAGAGCACTTAGTACTCTCCCCAAGAACTTGGGTTCCATTCTCAGCACCCACATGGTAACGACCATCTGTAACTCCAGTTCCATGGGTCCATCACCCTCTTCTGGCCTCCATAGGCATTGCACACACAGGTGTGCTTATCATGCAGGTAAAACTCTCATACACATAAACTAAAAATCAATGAATCCAAAAAAATTCAGATATTTCTTGTTGATGGGCATGGACAGAACTGAATGTGATTTCAGCAGGCACTCATGATTGGTCATTGTGGGTTGGGAGTAATTTCAAAAAAGGAAGCAGCTGATGATTCCTACGTATGATGAGCTTTTCTGTGAAGGAAGGAGAAAGGAAGACATGTGAAAAAGTCATTCCAAGTGGAAGGATAATAGCACAAAAAAGACAAGGTAATAAGAATACCTTCTTAGAAGTTAATGAGAGCCAGCCCTGGGCCTGAGAGCAACACTCCACATGTTCAGAATAGTACAGAAGATTAAAAAGTAAAATGAGGCATCCAAAGGACGTATGTCAGGGTGGGACATAATTGAGCTGGAGAGAATAACAAGAGCTTTGGCCAAACTTTCTCAGATACAGTTATACATTCTCTCCTGAAAACAAAGTTAGCTACGGAGCAAAGAAATTATCTTTTCTGTACTAATTATTGTTCATTTGAACAGGGAAGGAAATAAGAAAGATTTTCCTAACCTAAGGCTATTTGAGGAAAGGGAGTAAAAAAATAGTTAATCTACCTTTTTATGATTATTAAATTCCATAAATTCCAATGTACTGAAACCCCTAAAGAATCATACATTCAAGAACAATGATATATAGTCAACAGCTTTAGGAAGAAAAAACTCTACAAGAACTTTCTCACTTTGGGTCTCCAAAACATTTTCATGGCTATCGGTTATCATGAGCAATAATTAGTCCTCGCACCGAGTTGTTTAGCATAATTAATGCTTAACAAGAGAGAGACAGTCGGTCATTGGTACAACTGAGGCATTTGATTACAGGAAAACAAATATATACACTCACATGGACTCAAAAAATAGTTAATGATGTTGGAGTCCTGCCCAAGGACCAGCACCCACCCAGAACTCAGGGACCACTACAGAAGAAGAGACAGAAAGATTCCAAGAGTCAGGGAAGAAGCCCATGATCGTATGGATATAGAGTCCTTCAAGTTCCTGGGACCCTGCTCATATGAACCTGTAGTAATGTTGTCAGCATGCACAAGACCTATGCAAACTCAAGCAGAGAAAAATCCATCATAGAACTTGGGAAATGGACAGCAGACCCCAATCTTAGCTGAAGAAATATTGGCAACTGATTACTACTGGGTGAGGAACTCTAAATAGGCTGACTAGGCCTCAGTAGATGAACTTGCATTGTAAAATACCTGGGGACACTAACTTGACTAGATAGGCCTTAACACAAATTACAGAACATATGAATTCCAGTGGCAGTGCTATGGGAGGGTGCCAGTGGGGAAGCAGGTATAAGGATGATTAAATTGATTGAGATTTCTATATGAAATACACAAAAATTCAATTAAAAAATTTGAAAAATAACTAATGATTAAAGGTATACCCAGTCAATACAATCCATGTCCATGTTCCGCATATTTTATACTTTGTTGAAACTATTGAGTCAGTGGTTCCACAGTCTGAATGAGCCATCTTCCAGAACTAAGATCACATAACTGCCCCCCAGTGTAATATGTACTTAATTCAAATTCCTTCCACCAATGTAGGGTTGAACTTTGAATTTTGATGTCTCACATAGTTGGGCTTGAAATAAGAATGTTTGATTCAACTTTGCTTTTCATTAAAAAATATTTTATTGAGTTTTTGTGCATTTCATACAATAGTTCTTAGTTAAATTTAGACCCCCTCCCCCATCCATGTCCCCACATACTACTGTCCCATAGGACCTCATGCATTCTGTCATATTTGTTGTTTTATCCAGTCAAGCATTTGTACCCAGAAGTTCTTCTGTGCAAATTTATCCACTGGAGCCTAGTCAGGCTATCTAGAGATCTTAAGGAAAATCTACTCTCTGTCACCCAGCAGTAATCAATCCATTCCCTACAGTTCTCAGGCTAGGGCCACACGCGGCCCATTCCCTCACTCCACTCTGGGCCTTTGTGTGATTGAGTCGGCATGAGTCTTGTGCACATCACCACCATTGCCACAAGTTCACATGTGCAAGCATCCAGTGGCCTGAAAGCCTCCATTTCCCCATGTTCATGGACCGACCCTGGCCCTTACAATCTTTCTGCCCTGAGCAATGGTCCCTGAGTCATGGATGGGTGAGCTTTGATATAGGAGTTTTATCCTGGGACACACACTCTGCAGTCCCTTATTCTTAGCCAGTTGTGGGAGAGTGCAATGTTTTTTCATTTATTTGTAAGCACTTATTAAATACCTACTTTTTGCTCAATATGGCTGTAGGTATTGAAGAAATGAGTAAAAGTAGACATAACCTTCACATGTTTTGGGGTGATTGGTTTGCATTTGTCACTGGAATTAAATTTGCTGCTGGCTGAGCTCACCACCTCTCTGGAACAGAAGGTGTCCTCTGTCCATCCTCTACCATGGCAGTTTCCTCCCAGCTCTTCCGACTTACCTGCTTATATGACCAGCAGCTGTCTCCAGCATGTGAAATGCATCAAAACCTTTCTTGTCTTAAATATGTTTTATCTTTCTTTGCAAGTTTAACATTTTCACTCCTAATGATCACTTCTTAAGATTATTGTCCAAAAATTTTGAGCCATCTTGTTTTATCAGAATTGCAAATTTAACTGGAGCTTCCTTTGGGAGGGTTAATTAGACAGTGTGGGGATAAGAATTCACATATAATACAAGTTCTATGTTTAATTTTTGCTTCTAATGGTTACTTTTAAAGTCATTGCCAAAAAATATTGAGTGATCCCATTTCACTGGAATTGAAAATGCAACCTTTAATTCAATAAGTTCGTTTAGTTAGTTACCTGAGCTTTTTGGGAAAGTTAATCAGACAGTATGAGGGCAAGAGTTCACCTGTAAATTAAGTTTAATGCTCTCACTTAGAGGAATTACAAAAGCTCTTGAAAGCTAGAGGAGAAACAGCAGATGACCCAGAATAAAGGATGTATCAGGGAAGGTGAATAAATGTGAGACAATGAAGATATTCAGTGCTATAGAGTCCATGAGGCTGACATCAGGGACAGTGAATCTCTGATATCCATGACAACCAGTGAGATTGAAAACCATCTATTGTCACCCATATTTTTTCAGTCAGAGCCCCATGTCACAGGGTAACTTAGTGATACCTATAGAGTCCCCTCAGAGTACCATGAAAGAGAGCCTGGTGGGGACAGGGACACAGAACTTGAGGCTCAGCATTGCACATTGTTTATGGAGCACTGACCCTTCCATTTGCAATGGCTTCTTCAAGCTGTGCTTGCTCTAGCCTAAGGCTAGATAAAGACAAGATAAGGTCTAGACTACCCTCACCTTGCATGTGGATGGGACTTAACAGTTTACAGAGCAGTTTCAGAGTCATCTTCTGCTCTTCTCTCCCTACCAGCTCTTCTAGGTTGGCACAACAGACAGGATTGGCCCTGAGTTAGAGATGAGGAAACAAGCCATTATGTCTAATGCAGTCAGTCTAATGAAAGTGGACAGGCGACAAGGAGATGTAGAAGGGGTACAAGGGCAAGAGGGGATGACCGCAGAGGAGGAAAATCTGCTAAAACATACTTTGTTTGAAAATGCTGTAATGACATTTAATACAGTGTATGTTGATGTTAAAATTTTAAAAACAGTGGTTGGTCAACATGCAACTATTATTGTTGCCACAAATATCTGTGGATATTTCTGAGGCTTCATAAACCACACACTAGTATTCAAGGGACATTTGTGTTTCTTATGTGCAGCATACTTTTTGTAAGCAGTCTAACCTGGGAGGAAGTTTTGACACAAGGACCTCTCATTGTTGGAGATATGTTATGATTATCACAGGGAAAATGAGAGTATATGTGCCTTATAAACAAGAAATGTTCCCAATCAAATGAAAGAAAAATACATTCTCATTATCCCACCACACTTAATCTATTCCTTAAAACCAACAATTGCTAACAGCAGGGGGTTTTTTTGTTTTGTTTTGTTTTTGTTTTTTGCAATGGAGTAGAACCATCCTTGTCAACTCACTGAGCAATAGATCACGGGACCTGGGTTTATATATACTCAGTCACTGCACAACATCATGTTACAGAAATGCAACTTAATTGATTCATTTGTTTCTCTCTGATAAGCATTCCATTGCTGTGTGAGTGTCCTTGACTTCTCTCACTAAGGGTAGTATCCATTTCTATAATTCATTTAATAATCTTTCAGGATTGTAATGAATTTTTTGCTGCTTGGTCCAGTTTTTCCCCTAATAGTCTCAATTATAGCCACAACATTTAATTGGCAAAGATGAATTAAAAGCCTACTCTAGTAGTAATGTTCTGTTAATAATCAATGGAAGAGGTTAATGTTTATAACTACACTATCCTTGCAACAGTCTCCTCTGTACAGAGTAAACTCTGAGAACCTGGGCAATGTGTAAGAACCAAGGATAAGATTTGAATCACTGTGGATCTAACTCCAGTGATGTGTAGAGAAGAATCCTCAAACCTGAACTTCTGCATCTAGCAAGATTACTCTCCTTCTTCCCAGGCTCTACTGGCTGGTAGTAGCTGAGCAATATGCAACTGACCAGAATGTTCTTGAGAACATTGCTGTTGAGGAGACTGCAGACTCATATTCTTAGAACTACAGACAAGAGGACATCCTTAAATGAGGTCCATAGTTACAGTAAAGAAAATTATGGAACCATCTGCTGTCTGAAAAAGATCTAGATTCTTTACCTTAAACTGACAAGACACCCGTTATTTAAAAAATCATGAAATAAAGTATGAATTTAATGCAGAACTGATTAATAACGAACAAGCTTAAGGGAACAGATTGTCTCTTGTGAAGCTGGAATGAGAAATGAGTGACAGTCATGAATCTTTTGACAATTTGAGTAAGAAGCATAGTCTGTCAAGGCTACATTCAAGGACCTTTAGAATTCCTAAAGTTCATGATGAGAATGTGACAACTCACAGTATATACAGCAGAGCTGGGTGCTTAACATGCAGTCTGGGACTTAATTTTTACAACTACCTTGCAAAGTAGGTATTATTATACTCCATTTTTCAGATGAGGAAACTGAGTCATTATTTCATGGTAATATTAGCTTTTTATGAACTAAAATGCTTATATTTGCAATCTTTCTGCACCCTCTTCCACAATGGTCCCTGAGCTGTGGGTGGGTGCGCTTTAGCATAGCAGTTCTACACAGGGACATGGACTCTACAGTCTCTTATTCCCTAAAACTTAGTCATATTGTAAGAGCCAGAGTTGGTGCATGAACATAAGGAAACAGAGGCTTTCAGGCCTCTGGGAACTTGTTCATGAACTTGCAACAATGGTTACAGCATGCACAAGACCCATGCCAACCCAATCAGATGAAAACCCAGCATAGAATGGGGTAAATGGGCAGCAGGCCCCAACCCTAGAAAAGGAACTATTGGCAAATGATTACTGTGAGGTGAGAAAAAGTAGATCTTCTTTAAGGGAGTGACTCTAAATAGGTTGACCAGACTCCAGTGGATGAACTTGCACCAGGGGACATCTGAATACAAAGCTGGACTGGATAGGACCTTATATATATGACAGAATACTTGAAATCTGGTGGAGGGGTGCAATGGGGTAGGTAAAGGGGAGGGTAGTCTAAATTTGATTTAGGTGTATTATGAAATGCACAAAAACTCAATAAAGAAATTAAATTTAAAAAATTTTTATTTGTTCTCTGTAGAAGCCGTTGGTAGAGGGGCCAGAATTTTTGGTAATACATATGCCCCATGAGAAAACACATGTTGAATTAACATGGAGCCCAGTGGTATGTTACCAAATTTACCTAATAGTACAAAAAAAAGTGGCCTCTTTAAAGATGTTATTAAATGCATTCAGCCAATATGTTATTAAAGAACATATTGTGGCTTCAAGTTAGGGGATAGTACTTTGGGCTCTGAAATTAAGCCACACATACTGGAAGGACATGGGATTTACATATAATATACCTACATTTTCTGAACTTCCATGTGGGTAACAAAAGTGCCATCTGCATAGAATGGTTGCCATTATAAAGAAGATAGTCACTGTAAAATAAAAGAAAGAAAATCTAGGAAATAATGTTCAAGTAAAGTATTACCTGTTATTTTTTATTATTTTTATTTTACTTTAATATTTTTATTTTATGTATGAGTGTATTGCCTGCATGTGTGTAAGTGCAGTGTGTTGTCCAATGCCCTCAGAGGACAGAAGAGGGCGTCAGATCACCTAGAAATGGAGTTATGGATGGCTGTTAGCCTCCATGTGGGTGCTGGGAATCAAACCTGAATCCTCTGTCAGTACTCTTAACTGTTGAGCCATCTCTCCAGCTCCCTTTCTTTGATTTTTAAGGAGTGGGTTTCCATATGGCGTTTGCAAACCTGCTAGACTTTTGTTAACTCTCTCTCTAACCTGCCTCCCCTTCTCCTGCTGCTGCCATATGGGTGCTGGGAATCGAACCTGTGTCCTCTGCGAGAGCAGCCCATGCTCTTAACCACTGAGCCTTCTCTCTAACCTCTACCTGCTATTTTTAACAAACCAAATTTCTTTTAGCTCACTATATAAATAAGACTAGAAAAAGTGTCTCTGAATAGTTTGTCTTTCAGGAAGAAAGCACAATCCTGCAGAACTAGAGCATTCATTAGGATTTTACCATTCAGGAGCTTGGCATAGCACTCAGCATTGGATGGAAGATTACTCACTATAAGAACATATTTACAAGACTATGAACAAGTGCCTCCTTAAATTTTGCGTCCCAGTTCCCTCACCCTAGCTCTCCCAAGCAGCTTTGAAGTGAATAAGTATATTTAGAGGAACTCTTTCTAATTATTCAGGTATGCTTTCCTTTTTTGCTTCATGTGTCCAAATACAAAATCCCAAATCTGATTTCTAAAGCTCAATTCAAAGTCTTCATACACGATTCCCTGGATTCAAGACCTGGCTGGATGTCCCCATTCCCGGGAAAGCTGCCTGTAGGTGCTTCTACTCCAATTTGGGCTAACTGCTAATCACACTGCCACAAAAGGAAATTCACAGAAACCCTAGGTCAGGTTTTACATTGTCTTCTGATCCTTTCATTTCTACTTTGTAGTATAATCTCCTCAACTGATTTTGACTTTGTAATTTTCTTGGGCAACTATAAAATCAATTGGTTTCTTCATTTACCATTACTTCCCTTCTTAAGCTTTGAACAGATGTGTTTGAATCCTTTCAAGTTTGTCCTGAATTTAATATTCAGAGTTTTTGCTCTTAGCTATTCTTGTATGAGTTTTACAATTTTATTTGCTTGTAACATGGATCATTACATCATTGGACACACATACTGCTGGGCACCCTGGCTTTGCATTTGATGTACATCTACACTAAGACTGGTTACAGAACTAAGAGCCCAACACAGATCTAGAAGAAGCTTTCCAAAGGGTTTCTAAATGAGAAAAGCACTGTCAAAGTCTTCATTTCCAAGATAAGAGAAAACTGAGCCTTAGAATGGCTCCCATGTAGGACCCAAGATAAAGGGATGGGCTCCTCTGATAATCAGAGTAGCTTCAGATTTGCCAAAACCCCATACTCTTTATTTCTCCTACGCAGTTAACTATCTATATCCATACACTTCCTAAACTTAAGGAGAAAAAGACTCCTTGTTAGAAGTGGGTTAAGCTGGGTATGAATGTTGCTAATGAACCAGTGCTATGGGAAGGGACCATTTCTCCCCTGGAAGTCAGCTTATATTGCCACAGAAGTAAGCATCATGCTTTCCTAGAACCTTGCTTCACCTGTTGCTGTTATTTATTTTCTAAGTTAAAGCTAGATGCCATGGATTTATTTTCACAAGCACAGTTTAGTGTTGGCTTAAAAATTCTCATGATTAAAACAGAAGGTATATAGTATTTTTGATCAGTCTCCCCAATATAACTTGTTATAAGACTCTTTACTGGAGAAGAGAGAGAGAGAGAGAGAGAGAGAGAGGGGGGGGGATTATTTTAGCATCTGTCTCAGAAAGGCAAAAGATGGCTTCTTTTTAAATTAATTTTTTATTAATGTATGTATGCCTACATGAATTTATGTACACCACATGCATGCAGATACCTGTGGAGGCCAAAGGGTGTCAGATCCCCTGGAATTGGAGTTACAGGTGGTTATGAACCACTTCACGTGGGTACTGGGGACTAAACCCAGGTCCTCTGCAAGAGTAGCAAGTTTTCTTGCCTGCTGAGCTGTCTCTCCAGCCCAGAAGATGAGTTCCTAAATGGCACTTGTAGGTCATGAGTGCATAGGAATGCTAAGGAAAGGGTACTAAGCTAAAAAGCTAACTTACAATGATTTGTCTTTTTCTCACTTTAGCACATCCTTGTGAGCTGTACTGCAGACCAATAGATAAACAATTTTCTGAGAAAATGCTGGATGCTGTCATCGATGGAACCCCTTGCTTTGAAGGTGGCAACAGCAGAAATATCTGTATTAATGGCATGTGTAAGGTATTGGGTATGTTTCTTTAATCTACAACTTTACAAAATCATGGGTTTGCTATTTTCGGAAGTCAGATGTTCTAAGCTTATACGTTTATGGTATATACATGTGTCTGGTTTTATACATATGGACTGGCAGTATAAGAAGGTAACACGTGAGCATTCACTAAAGCCAAGGTTTTGACCTGAATGGTTTTTTTCCAGCTATTGAAACTTCATTTCTTGTTTGCTCATGGTCACCATGACACTGCTGTAGGTGTTCAGCAGAGTCAAATCAGAACCAAATTAGCAAAGGTATTATTGGAAATGGGCAGACTAGACTTTTATAAGAATATTAAATTTGAGAAAAATGATTCTAACAGTAGTTTATGTGGAGCTTTTCACAGAGTATTTTAACACTTAACTCCCCATTAAGTGTCATGAACTTCTAAGGAAGACAGATAGCATGACAGGCAGTAACAAGATAGGCTTTTGATTTTAAGTATTTCTCCTTGAAATTGCTTTTGTATTTACCTGAGTTGTGACCAAAACATAAGAGGTGATTTCTAGGTTTGAGTGAACTAAAAACAAAACATACCCAATTTCTACATTTAAAAGAGCTCAAGAAATTTTTCTTTTAAATCAATAAATTTTCATGGTAACTACAGAGCCCAAAATAATATGGTTTGGATTAGGATTAGGTCCATTTAGAAAAGTCAGCCAAAATAGCCCCAACCCTGTCTGAAGTAGTAGTTCAGACCAAAGGAGACATCCTGTCTACATTTCACAATCATTGGGATAGCTTTTTGAAAAATTTCTGATTTCTGGGCTCTATCTCAAATATGTTAATTTGGAATCACATGATGGAGACATTGGTATTTTGATGATTAGCATATGCAACCCTGAAATTAATGCAATGCTAAAATTGACTTTTAGACCTCGTTGATTTTGCACATAGAAATATACCATCTTTCGTTTGCAATTGCAAACCAGTGTTTTGAGAAAAACATAAGGGGTCCTGAGCGTCTCTACTGACATCAATTAAATGAACTTAATACAATAAACTAAATGCTCTCAGTTGACTTTTCACTTTCCAGAGTTCAGTTAAGGCCTTCTAAGAGCTATAATTGCCCACTTTCTGTCTATCCATACTCAAAACAATGATGCCAAATGTACCTAACAGCCTAGATACGATTTGTCCTCCCAAAGTCTAGGTATTTGTACTCAGATACAAAAAGTAAGCCCTTGGTTCTTCCTAGGGGAAAAAAAAAAAAATCACCACAAAAGAAGCTCTGGAACCAATAAGCCTAGGTTCAAATTCAAGCTCTGGGAACACAGAGATAAAGTTGGCCACGCAGGAGCACATGGTTGCAATGTGGTTGGAGAGTCTGGCAAAGAGCCAGGAAGATTTTTCTGGAGGCTCTAAACCTGTCAGTGTTCTCAAATGAGGTGTTATGAGGGTTTCTTATCCACTGTTGGAGAAGAGGAAGATCCTCTGGAGGCATCTCGTAAGAGTGTCTCCTGAGAGTGTCTCAAGTGAGAGTATAAGTTAACTTTGGGGGAGAGTGCTGGGTGTCCACTTACAGATGCAGTGAGAGATATGGAAGAGAGAGGTAGCACAGCAGCCTGCAGGAACAGCCACAGGTGTGGTGGGTGTTATGAATCCCACACTAAGGGGACTGTGTTCTACTTTTAGGAAAATGGGGTGCAATCAAAGAGATAAGGCAAAAGATGGAACAAGAGTTTTGAATATGACTTTGAGAAAACTGCCTAGTTTCTCTTACTTAGTTTCCCCATTTTAAATGACAAAAATAAAACTGTACTGCCATAAACTACTTACTATGAATTCAGTGACTGAAGACAAAAGAAATGTATTATCTTCTAGTTATAGACTCTAGAAGTCTGAAATCAAGTTGTCAACAAGGTCATGTTCCCTCTGAAGACTTTAGTGAAGAATCTTTTCTTTGACCTTCCTACTTTCTGGTAGCTGCTGACAGTCCTTACTCCAATTTCTGCCTCTATTTTACCACAGCTGTCTTTATGTATTTGTATCTACAATTTTCCCTTTGTCAGGGAATCAATTATTGGATTTAGAGCCCCATAGTCCTATATGACCTCATCCTGATTTGGGAATATCTGCAAAGTTCTTATCTCCCCAGTAAAATTCCATTCACAGGTATCAGGCATAGGATTTCAACATGTTTGAGGGGGGCATAATTGATTTTTCAGCAAGCACCAACCTGAAAAAAGCCATGGCAGGGAAAGTTTTATGTTACTGTTCCATTTATCAAATGGCAGTCTCAATTATTCTTTCCAGTTAAGTATCGCTCTGTCTTATCTTCACACTGGAAATTTCATTGGCTGAGAATAAACTTTATCTTAGAAGAAGCATCCTTCCAGGCTCTAATTTTTTCAAAGGACTTTAGAAGAAATGGCAGCACTGTGGGTGGCTTAGGTCATGGTACCATTTGGTATTTCAGTTCTCAGTTACCTGAGAATTTGCAAAGTAAAATAATGTTTAGCAGAAAAAGAGAACGAGTGCAAATTGACATTACTTGATAAATGTGGAAGACGAAATATCTGATGAATCAGGAACCTGTTTCCCTTACTACTGATCAAGATTATGTGATTTCAGTGCAATTCTTTCAGAATCAAAACTTGCTACAATGGGATATGAAAGTGGTTTTGTTTTCTTCAAAAACCCTGCCTACTGGGGTGACTTTCCCTCAGAGTCAGAGAAGAGCTGTGCTGAAAGCACCATGAATTTTTGGTGGCAGCAACATAGCCACCTCTGATTGCACTGAAAGACCAAACAACAGTGGGCCCTTCTGCCAAAGCACATGTTGAGAAAGAATGGTCCGTTATTTTTCCCCAAGAGCCCCTTAAGTCTTATATACAACAGGGAGGGCTGACTTTTTGTTATATACTATATTCACTTTTCATTGTGTTATTGCCACTGGTAGAAAAGCAAATTGGGTGAGGTTTCCTCAAGAATTCATTTTCTTTTCTATGGGATAATATACTGGGGTCTTGTGCATGTCTCCTTCCCCCAACTATTGCCCTCTCGTTATACAAACTAATATTACTAGAGCAATATGACCACCTACTCAAAAAGACAGACTTAGGGTTTGAGAGATTTGTATTTAGGAGGAGGGCTTGCTTTACTTTATTCTACACATTTAAAAGTATTCTTCTGTTTTTAGAGATTAAATAAAATTCTTTAAAATTAACATGTCTCCAAGTAAGTTTCCTTAGCTTACTCCTAATCAGTAGAAGAATGAAGGTCACTGGGAATATGATTTATAAAGGTCAGCTTATTAGAGGATGTTCAAGGTTGGCATAAACATATCACTTGTGTGAAGGGTTGGCATTTTATTCCTAACCACTGCAGGCATATATCCAAAACATTTTATTTTCCATTTTGATTTGCATAATTAAGTTGTGGTTTTCTAAAAATCTCTTAGCACTTAATTTTTCCCCAGCTGAGTCAAGTATCAAATAGTCTTTTTGTCTATAAGAAAATTAGGGATGATTAACCTGAGGAATCAAGATCTTTTATGTCAATGAGCTTTTGTGCTATTTAGCTGACCAAAGGTATAAAGACTCATACTTTTCTTCCCCTCAGTAGATTTTTTAAAATGATCTATTAGAAGAAAAATAGCCAAACTAGGGACAATTCTACTTAAACATCAAAGAAAACTAAGGAATGTGATGTTGTTTTCCCACGTGGTCATGAAGAAAACAGGCAGATAAGTTTAATTGAAGTTCTTACTTCATAAATCCCGACCTAAGTGTCATGATTCTTTGGGATCTGATAATACAAATTTCATTATAGCCCTTTTTCAGGCTTGGAATTTTAGAATGGGAAACACTTGACAAAATAAATGCAAAGCAGAGAGGGGACAATGATTCAAGATCATTGGGCAGAAAACAAAATGGAGCAGGTCAGAGAAGAAGCAAAATTGTTCTTAGTTCAGAGGGGCAACAGTTAATTATCCCTCAAAAGCAAGAAGGAGGGACTAGGAGTAGGTCAAGTACAGCTAAGGGAAATGCACTGGGGCTGGGGTCATAGAAGGAGCTGAGGGATCTGATGTTGGTTCTCAAGGTCAAAGATTTCATCTGTCCTTGGACTGGTATCATTTCAGCATTAAGCCAGGTTTCCTCAAGTGGTTTCTGGTTTTCCTGCTGCCCTGAGACAGGAACCAGAAATAATAACTTCAATGAGAAATGTAAAGGTATTGAACAACCAAATTACAGGTATAGTAGTTACATCACCCCTGGGACTTGCTGTTGTACCACCTCTAATCCCAGAATGTTTTTATAGTTAGTTGGGTTTTTTTGAACTGTGTTAGTTCTAACTCAGACCCAGGGGGAACTGGAAACCCGGGGAAATGTGTACCTCTTTCCTTTCTAAGTGCAGTCACGCTTTCGTCTTCATGCATTCTACATGCAAAGATTCAATGAATCTTGCCCAGATCAAAAATTTTTGAGGAAAAAGTTATCTGTGATGAACTTTTTTCTAATTATTATTCTCTAAACAATATAGTATAACAAATAATTATATATCATTTGCATTATATATACTGAGTATATAAGTACTATAGAAATTATTTAGATAATATGAGAAGAGCTACATAAGTTATATGCAAATATTATGCCATTTTACATAAGGCACTAGAGCATCTGCAAATTTTGACATCTTCAGGGATCCTGAGACCAATCCCCCCATGGCTTTGAAGGGATAACTTTATTTCCTTTGCCATTAGGGGATGTTTTGGCTATCCCTCTGGCTGCCACAAAAACAAACAAACAAACAAACAAAAAAAAAAGATAGCAAGAACTCAGGTTTTCTAGCCTAAGGTTGAGGCAGGTATGGTGTCACCCACATGTGTCATTCATCATGACCCTTTCTTCCCCTCAGAGGGTTGGCTGTGACTATGAGATTGACTCCAATGCCACAGAGGATCGCTGTGGTGTGTGCCTTGGAGATGGCTCTGCCTGCCAGACTGTGAAGAAGATGTTTAAACAGAAAGAAGGATCAGGTAATAAAGAATCACAACTAATTGAAGTATCCAGGAACTTAGACTATAAAGCAAAAAAAAATTAACTCTTTTTTTGTTTTAAAATAGCTTGTTCTACCAGGCATGGTGGTGCATGCCTTTGATCCCAGTAATCAGGAGGCAGAGGCAAGCAGATCTCTATGAGATCAAGGCCAGCTGGGGCTACAAGGAGACCCTGTTTCAAAAAGACCAGAAAACTTCTTATGATCTTTCTGGCCCCTGAGGCTTGAGAAGCAGAAGTTTGATATAGGTGTCCTATTCTGGGATAAGCACTCTGTAGCCTCTTGTTCTCTGCACCTTGGCAGAGATGGTCTCTTTCATATATGGGGACTCTTGGTAGGTTAACCAGGATCCAGTGAATAGTGAATGAATCCACACTGAAGGACATTTGGAGACACAAATTAAAATCTGTAGAATATATATATGGATCAGAAGCAGTAAGGGGAGGTACAGATATGGGAAGGGATCTAAACTACCATCAAATTATATTGTATGAAAACTGCAAAATTTAAATAAAAAGTAACTTGTAACTTCCAAAGAATTCCAAAAAATAGGGTATAGCCCTCACCACAAAGGGGTTGGTGTTCTTTGAAATCAACAGGAACAAAGTTGATTGCTAAGCAAATATAGGAAGCATCCCACTGACAAAGCGATCTGAAATGGCCAGTGGCTGCTCATGGGAAACAAGGATAAGAACATGATCTCTGGGAGGGGCTGATCCTTGGGAATAGGCTTTACAAACAGATCAGGGTAAAGACAGTGGCATTGGAAGAAACCAAAAACCAGTGGAAAATAGAGGTCCGAAGCTGGCTGTCAAGGATACAGACAGAGGACAGGTCCTGTGTGTGATGACGGAGAAGCCAGCAATGTCTTCTTCAATGACAGAAGTATTGGGGTGCACTGTCAGGGCCAAATAGAAGCAGAACAGCTTCTTTACATCTCCCTTTCTCTCAGTCACTCTCTGCCACTAAATCCCATGCAGTGGCCCCTTACAACTCTCAAGGCATCTCTTCCACCTAACACAGCCCCCTTTTTACTCACACTTTATTATTCTTTCTTCCTATTTACACCTTACAAGATTTTTAATTTGTGCAGCGTTGAGCTACTGGTAACCCTCAGAGAATGGGTTGAGAATCCACCCTCATTGCAGATCATCCAAGACTCATGCAGCCTTATCTTTAGTTAAAGTAGTTCTCCTGGTCCCTGGTGCCAGCCATGGTGAAGCCTCAAGACTGGAAAGGATGGAGACAACTCAGGTTTTCTTAGTCTGGGTTCCCTGGATAGACTCTGAAACAAGAATTCAGATGTAAACCATTACTCAGCGGATAGGAGGTCCTAGGATACATCAGCAGGGTGTTAAGGAAGTAAAAGAGAGCAGTGAGAGCAACCAAGAAAGGGTGAGGCCACCAAGCCAGTGCCACTGAAGAGAAGGCAGAGCAAGACTGGTGCATTTGCATTTTCACACCTGAATGTGAAGTAGTGAAACGATATACATACCAATTTTTACTACTAGGGAGCTGGAGATGTGGTTAATTCTCTGGGTTCCATAGAGGTGCAGATGCTGGAAACAAGCAGTCTGGCACACACTACAGAAGTGGGTCCTGGGGAAGAAGACTTTTCTGCTACCTAGAGGTGACACTAGATCAGGAAATGATGTTCACTTTGGAATGTAAAGGGGCACTATTTGGGGGGTCCTGATAAAGCAGTTTTTCTCACCTAGTATGCAGAATGAAGTCCTAAAGTAAGATCCCAAGAGCACTGGGTGTGTCCTTCCATTGATTACATGACCCGTTGCTTACTAGTAAACATCACAGCAGATGGGCTATATTTGCTTAAATTCTATCTGTATTTTTCTTATTTTTGACTATTGAACTACTTTTGGTTAAATTGTTAAATAATTCTTGCCCTGTCATTGAAGCATCACCATTGGCAGACTACTTCCTCTCTTCACTGATAACTTTATTATAGATAAAAGTTGTCCTTCCAGGAGCTGGAGAGATGGCTTAGAGGCTAAGAACACTGACTGTTCTTGCAGAAGACCCAGGTTTGAATACCAGCATCCACATGGCAGCTAACAACTGTCCATAACTCCAGTTCCAGGGGATCCAACAGCCTCTTCCGTTCTCTGTGGGCATTGCACAACATGGGTGCACTTACCCACATGCAGGCAATACACACATACACATAAAATTTAAAAATTTTTAAAAATTTAAAAAGATGTCCTCCTAATTACTGTTTATAGGTGAAAATTATAATTGAGTGCTTGTTAAACTTTGATTAAATATCCTATGGTGTTTATTTTTATCTAAAAAAAAGCATCTTATAGATATTTCTATTATTTAGATATGGTTCTATTTATCTACTTTGTAAGTTACATTAAATCATATTTCTTCATCTGATTTCAATTTTATTTATTTATCTATAAATATCTATTCTCTGGCTTCTGCTATGCTGTCTTTCTCACACTGTGGTAACTCCTTTGAAAACCCGAGGCCTCATTGCCAAACCCTTTCCATTTAACCTTCAAAATTCCAAGAGAATTGGACTTTTTCTGCTGTTTGTTGTTTGTTTGTTTGTTTGTTTGTTTTTCTTCTGCCCTGGTATTTTTATGTGATATTAAAAGGGATCCAGAAATAGCCTGAGCCTCCCATCCAACGTCATAAATCTCTGTGCCTCTGGCCACATGCCACCACTATGCACTTGACATCTCTGTTTACAGCCTTCTTTCTCCCATTTGCTACTCAGAGTGTTTCAGTGGACCTTCGTACCTGTGGCATAATGTCAGCTTTAGACTGCCCGTGCCCTGCAGGTTCCTCTCTGATCCCCCCTTCCAACATAAAGAGAAAATTTGGAAAAAAAAAAAAAAGATACTTTACTTACCTGCTACCATAATCCCACCACACAAAATGATACGAGAACATGCTACAACAAAATCGTGAAATGCAATTACACTGCATTGCTTTAGGTAATCAACAAGCAGTTCAGAGTCAGAAAGGGAGCTTACTTTCCTCACTTCAGAGATGATCAACATGTCACTCTCTACACTTAGGCTCATGCCATCCTGAATTGCTGCCTTTTTCACCTTATACTTTATAGCTTTTCTCTAATGTAATTATTAGCTCAGAACAGATTTTTTAAAAAATCACTACTCTTCTCAACCCCAAATGCCCATAGTCTCAATCTATAATAGGTATTTAATTAGTACTTACATAGGTTTAAGTAAAATGAGTTTTTTCTTAAGTTTGATTCCACATTTCTTTAATAATAAAAGAAACCAAGCAATTAGTATTTTACAGTTAGGTTAAGGGGACAAGTGAGTCAAGTATCTTTATTCCTTGGCTGTGATGCCGTAACACTTGAGACAAAACTATCCTTTTGAGTACTGGTCACTTACTAATTATCACTGGAAATCATAAATTGAAATAATTTTCCTTATAATGCATATCCTAAAGTATACCCCCCAACATCCAGAACTAAATTTTATTGGGTGGATGGCAATAGATCTGTTCACAGCAATTACACTGTAACTCCATCTCCTTTATTAAGAAAGCACTGAATTTTCCATTCAAGTCTGTGGCTTATAGGAGTGGTGGTAGGAGACCTTAGGTAGGATGATTTCTAGAGCAAGTCTCTGCATCCAGTTACAAGGGGACTATGTGAGAGTTTAGGCAGGGCTTTATTACTCCAGGACTTGTGTATCAAATCCTCAGAACTCTATTATTTAGTTATTACCATGACCTCAAAAGGACCCAGTGCCATCCGACAATAACCAAAAACAAAGAATCTGGGGAAGAGGTACAAACTGGCATTGGTGGCAAAATACCTGTAAGTAAGGAAAAAATGGGAAGTTATTCTTAATCTCTCTGAATTAAAAATCCTTCAGATACTGCATGACCAGACTCTGACTGGTGGCTTCCATTATGACTTTCTTTTCCTTTAGTGTTTTAGTTTGGATCACAGCTCTCCTTAAGAGAGTGATTTTTTAATCTACCAGATGATTTTATATCCATACACAGGTGCCAAGGATCTGAGTGCAACCAATCATGACTAGTGATAATCAGATACATAGATATTAGAGATGCATGCATCAACATCTTAGTGTTATTAGCAAAAACAATGAATCTTTCTATAAGAAACAGCATATTTTAAAATGAAACAGAGATCTTTTTTAAAGGTTAAAAACTCACTCAATTTTATGTCTTACAGGGTTTATACTGAGTTCAATATTGTATAACTGTATTAATTCAACTATGAACCTAAAAATTTTACAGATACATCTCTCACTTTTGAGAGATGTATCTTTGCTCTGGAAATTGTTATTATGTTAAAGCTGTAATGAAATGCTTCTTCTAAAAAATAAAGAATAAAAAGATAAGGTTGAAAGAATGCAAAGGGAGAGGTGGAGGAGGAAGAAGAGGAGGAAAAGGAAGAGGAGAGGGAGGGGAGGAAGAGGGGGAGGAGGAAAAGGAAGAGGAAGAGGAGGAAGGAGGAGGAGGAAGGAGAAGAAGAGGAGGAGGAAGAGGAGGAGGAGGAAGGAGAAGAAGAGGAGAAGAAGAGGAGGAGGAAGAGGAGGAAAGAGGAGGAGGAGGAGGAAGAAGAAATCTGCCATTAAAATATCCTTGGTGCTCAGACTTGACTGCTGCTGATGCCTTCAAGCTGTAGAGACATGAAATATTAGCCAAATTATTTTATATTTTTTATGAGTGTCCCTAAGTAAGAGAAAGGATCACACAGAATTAAAATAGCCTGGGAGACAAGAAGTAAGATTATGGTCTAGATAATCATTAGCCTTGAGGAAGCTAGCCCTCAGACCTCAACTTCTGAGGTCCCTTCCAACCCTGAGTGACATTTTTTTGTCTTCTTAATTTTGATGGCCACAGGCTGATCATGTCTGTAGATATCCACCTGTTGAAGAGATGATGTCCATATCTGTGGCCTCCCTGGGAAGCCCTAACAACTAAATTCCTGTGTTTCTGAGGAAC